AGAGAGAGAGAGAGAGAGAGAGAGAGAGAGAGAGAGAGAGAGAGAGAGAGAGAGAGAGAGAGAGAGAGAGAGAGAGAGAGAGACCCAACTGTCACATGTTTGTGACAATGAATTCCCTTGCTGATCTGCTCGATGCTCATAATAATAGAATTGCTGATGTGCACCGATCAACATCGGGCTAACGAAGAAATGCGCAGAACAGCTCACAGAATCACAAACCCGGACACGACAGCTACCTTGTGCGCGTTCTCACAGTATCCCGAAAGCCTCTGCTAATGATGGAAAGCCATGCACGCCAGCTTCTTGTCAACTGTAAGCTTTCTTCCTGTCGTGTCTGCGTTGTTACACTGGAATCTGGATGTCGTGCCCACACACACAACACTCATCAACAACCGGACCCACGACACTCGACACTTGAGCTCCCCTACATCACAACAAAACTGATGAACTTGTGTTGAGTGTGGACACTGTGGACCAGAACATAAATGGAAAACAATTGCCACCATGAATGAGACTAAATGACAAAATTGGTTAATTAATATAATTATTAATTGGATTTCTTGCCGGCATCAGTTGTGGAACTACTACTACTACTACCTGTGTCCTGCTTGAGCGTGGTAGGGGAGATCATCGAGCGCATTTCCCGAATTAACCTCTTTTCGAAGACGAACAAGGCGGCCACCACGCCCCCCAAGCAGATAACTCCCAATGCCACATGAAGGGCCGAGTCACGCAAAAACTCTTGACTGGACAACGCACCTCCGTTCGGTAGATTCACGAGGTTGGAGATTCTCGTCATTGCCACTGCAGCTAAGAAAGCGACGATGACCCTCCGGTCAGGAAGCACCCTAAGAAGAGAGAATGTCGGCATGTCTTTGAAAAAGACGGTTGCAAAGTGTAACGAATAGCAGATCCGCAAAAGCATGCTACAACAATTGGCCAGAATGACACCGAACGATCCCATGATGTTGATGAGCACGATGCTGAGCGTGACGTACGTAATTGAAAATACGATCGACCATGCATTTGATATCGTAATCTGTTGCTTGTTCTGCGATGCATGCTGAAATGTTTCCGTCACCCCGTTAATCGGGAGAATCATCACGTACACGCAATAAAGCTTGAGAAGTTGCGGCGCTTCCGTCTCACTCCATTTCTCTCCGTACAGCATCCGTATCAAAACATATGAGTAGCTCGGCCCGAATGTGACCGCCAGCAATCCGATCAGCAGAACCGCTTTCAACAGAAGCAGAAAAAGCCGTTCGAGACCGTATTTCTGAGCAATTCTTTTCGTAGACGATCGCTCGTCAGCGCTTCTTCCCGATGACACTGGTGAAGATTTTGAGAAGACCGCGAACGCGATTTCCTCCAACGGACGGAAAACTATGCGAACCACTGCCGAACCTAGCTTGTCCACTGCACCGTAAACTCCTTGATTGTACGGACTGCCAAACAACACGAGGACCATCTTTTCGCCCTCCTGCAAGACTAGTTTCTGTACTGATTGGATCGTAAAAACCCCACACAAACCCAGCAGACTTTTGTCCAGGTTTCGCGAAGGTCTCAATCCTTGCAGTCCCCGCGTACCCACCCTGACAACGACATAGGCCCAATACCCCACAAGTAGGGAACCACCCATTGCAAGCTGGCCGTAGGCATGCAGCGCCGCGCCGGATTTCCCGCCTCCATGGAGGACGACGATGCACAGCGCGAAAGCGCGCATGAGATTTGCCAGACTTTCGAGCGTCGCACGTACCTGGACAAGGTGCATGGACTGAGAAAATATGTAGGCCGGCTCGCTCAGTATTTCGAGAAGAATGCCAAGAATGAGGACGTGGATCGCGTCCGTTTTGCCCTGGCCTGCCCAGTAGGCTATCAAAGTGAAGACAGCAGCAGTGACCGTAATGCCTACAGGGACAGTAAGCCAGGCAACTGCCAAGACCTTTGCAGTCCTACTGCTGGTTCGGGAGCTGCTGCTGCCGCTCGTTGATGATGACGATGCCACATCATCATCTCCTGCACGGAGACAGCCGCGACGAAACCCCTCGCGACTGAGATAGAGAATGGTTGTCGTCAGGACAGGGAATTGCACAGCGAACTGTGCAAACTCAGAAGGACCTAGACTTCTCACAACAAACAGATTGACGATAAACGACAAAATTCGTGATGCCAAGCTGGAAAGCACCAACTGCAGGAAGCCTTTAAAAAGCAGATTTCCCTCCTCCGTACCCGGCTTTGCACCACCATCCTCCGTCATCTCTTCTGAGTGTGCTGTACGACAGAATATGCCAGCAGCTGCCTGCCTTAACCAACTTTCCAATGCCAGCAGCTATGGTCAAAATAAAAGGACCGGTGCACACACACATGAGAGAGAGAGAGAGAGAGAGAGAGAGAGAGAGAGAGAGAGAGAGAGAGAGAGAGAGAGAGAGAGAGAGAGAGAGATAAAAAAAAAAGAAAGAGAAAGAGAGAGAGAGAGAGAGAGAGAGAGAGAGAGAGAGAGAGAGAGAGAGAGAGAGAGAGAGAGAGAGAGAGAGAGAGAGATGGGCCTAAATTTTAGGCACACTCATCAACAGAGTGAAAGTATGCAGAATGAGTTAGAAGAAGGAGCATCGACGAGAGAACAGGGTTCGTGACAATGACGACACAATTCGAGCTGCTGGCTCTGCGATATCAGGACCTCTCCGCAACGCTGGAAGCTGGAAGAGGACCGTAGCCAAGGTAACCCGTGGGGTGGAAGAATGAGTTCACGACTGCTTAGCAGAGAGTAACTGGGGGCAAACCCGACAAAGGGAGTCCTCCGCGGATATAAGCTGGTAGGAGCAGCGGAAGGAACAGGAGGAAGGAGAACCGAAGAACGCCAGGCTGCCAGAAGAGGAGCCCACAAAGATCCATTCAATAACAACAAACCCAAACTTATCTCAGAATACAATGGGATGAAACCACCAATGAGCCTAGTAGCTCAGCTGGTAAACCCATGGACTTTTGAAATACAGACCCAAGTTCGAACCCACATGACAAATGGCAAAATAACAATGGGATCAAACCAAAGCCAAATTGAATAATGCGCGAACTTGGGCAGAGGCTAAACAGAAGATAAGAACTTTCTGTATGGAGGGGAGGGGGCGGGGTGGGGCGGGAACAAGGGGGATGGATTGCGGATTGCAGATGTTCAGAGGAGTGGTTGCCGGGGAACCCCTCAGGGACCACCCGACGACATGACTACACACTTATCTTTCACGAATGGACGAAGATTGATGCTGCGGTCCCCTCCCCCCCCCCCCCCCCCCCCCCTCCCCCCGATTTTCCCGACCTGCTTCCTGCGCACAACCTTTCCCTAGTTGACCTTCGATGGTTCCGAGGCTAGGCTTTCAAGGTAGGCCAGGCATCTCTTCAGGATGAAGAGGCCTCACTTTGAATAATCCGGATGTGATAGCTGAGGTGCAGCTCAGACGCTTTGATTGTAGTATTCTCGGACGATGGACCCGGTTTCCAGCAGGTGCAGCTCCGAACCAATAGACTGGAGTCACCGCCGACGCGATAGCGAGGGATGTGATGTTCATATCACATCCCCACTAGCGTCCTGAGCCGTGTTGAAAGAAAAAAAAAGAGAAGAAAGAAAAAAGAACTTGGTCCTTCGGAGCATCCGGTGAGCTTGGGATGATACAGAGAAAGAAGATTAGCATGGCCCCTGCACAAGGTTGACACGCATTCATCGAGAACGATACAGAGAAAAATTAGCCTGCCCCCGGCGCAAGGATGACGCACATACATCCAGAAATGAACCAAATTCAGTTAAAAAAAAAAAAAAAAAAAAAGAGCGATAACTCCGATGCAGGACAAATGGTCGTGCTCAAGATGGCTCCTCAATCCCTGTCTGCATGCAGTGCATAAGTACTACATTGCTACAGCCATCCTATCCTAAGGGCCTCGCTCCACTACTCACCCAATCTGCAAAATGAGAATGAATCTTCCCCTACAACATGGGAAGCTACACTGCCCTTTTTTTTTTTTCCTGTCTTTTGTGCATGTGGAGAGTAGCGGAGCGAGGCCCTTTATATTCCATACGTCTATATCATGGTCTTGTCTAGCGCGGATGCTGCTCTTATCACCGCCCGGTAAACAAGTCACCCTGTGCATTAAGTTCAAAAAAAAACAAAGAAAAAAAAGAGAAAAGAAAAAAAAAGAGTCACACCGGAGAGTCCAGCCTGATAGATCCACATAGTCCGTGTGTTTAGCATCTGTATAATTCCAGACACGGAAAGCTCCGCCTCCTTTCCCACGCCCTCCAACACCTCCCCC